GCCGAAGAGGGTTTTTCAATTTTGAAATCAGAAGAAAGTCGCATGACCCTGGAACGCACTCTTCGATGCGTGGATCCACCGGCGTTTTATCACCGACCGGCCGCGATGAAGAGGCTTTGTACTTTTGGGGAACGGTTTTAGATGTTTTTGCCATTTCTATGTGAGTTCAGAGAAAAAAGAAGATGAAGCTTGTTGTTTTAGGAGAAGAACGACAACGGGATGTAAGTAATTTGCAGAATTGAGGAACTTGAAGGAAGGAGAGCTTTGAAGATTAAGAAAAGTTTTGAAAATAAAGTTTGAGAAATTTATGAAGAGGATCTAATTATAATATTGCTATGACGGTTTGAAAACACTTGTGGTCGACCATTAACTGGCACTAATTAATGGCCTTGCGAACTGTGCAGACGTGACTCTTTAGTCGCCTCCGCCGCTTACGTCACGAGGGCAACGTCATAATTGGTTGAAATCGAAGACTCATTTCGTTTCTTCTCATTACACTCTAAGAAACGAGGGGACTATCTGTATACTGGCCATTAATTCGAGATCGGAGAACTGCATCTAGGGTCAGCCTCGTAATAGATCAGGCCTGAGCACGAAAACAAGGTACTGAGTTCGAAGATCGAGGTACCCATCGAGATCGAGATCCCCGGCGATCGAGACTAGATGTGATTAGCTTCGAGCGTAACGCAATAACGGCAACACGAAGTATCTGTAACCGGTCCACGACGGAAATCTCGGAACGGATCAAATCAAGGCGGTTATTTGTGTCAATCATGGTTTACTTCCGTAACTAGAATTGTACCTCAATTAGGATTCTCTTGTATATAAAGAGGGGTCCCCATCTTTGTAAAGACTCTCACATTCATTCAGATCAAAGCAATATAACAGTTCTCCATTATTAATCAATTCATTGTTCTTTACTTGTTTTCACTTTACTACTCTCGAGGGTTTATCGGTTCGAGGACTCTATCCAAGCATATGTTTATTCTATATTCTTGTCAATTCATCACTTATCTCTAAATTAATCAATTGGAATTAAGTGAAATCCCGTATCCTTAAAACCACATTATAAGTTTAATTGTTACTCGATTTTTAGGGTAAACAAGGAGGATATGATTGCCCATGGGACCAGAGAAAGAAGAATGCATGACTTTACTATCTTTCATTTCCAATCACATGATAATGGAGATGCATTGTTAATTTCCTCATCATCCTTTCTAGTTTCTTGTGTCCATTTCCTTTTCTAGCTATGCTAGATGATTAGAACTTAAAGCATTATAGATCACAAAAAGATTTAATGTAACAATAATGATAAAATTGTCCCATTTACAGCATGATAGTAAGTTATTTGCCTCAGCCAGTCAGCTCAAGTCCAAACAGAAAATAAAATCAAATAGAACTATCAACTCAGCTGAGGGTATTGCATGGTCATGCCCTTGTAAAATAACATTTCCATCCAACAGCACAAATAACAAACTGCTCCGGAGTTCAATCATCGTCTTTCTTTTACAAATCTGCATAGAGATTATAAAGAAACATTTAAAAGTTGCTAAATTTCTGAATTTACACTTATCTATTGTACAAGATAGCTAGAACAGTTCAGGGGATGGTATTACTGCTTAGACTGAATAAATGAATGAATAAATACATTAGAGAAATGAATAGGTCTAATTGACAAGTCCTATACCGACCAAACTTCCGGATCCCAGGCCAGGATTGATGAATGTCCACCACAGTTCAAGTTGAATGACTCTGTTGAAACCATTGGATTTGGATGTCAAAGATTGAATTCAATACAGTACAAATTAACCAATGAACTATGCATGCAATTCCAGCGTCAAAAGAATCAACCTAATCCTTATATACGCTGGCGAATCCATTCTGGACTAATGATAGTGAATTGGATCTTTCAGACACTTAATATTTAGAAGTTGACAGAACACGGGAGGATAACTATAGCGTTTTCAAGTCAAACTTTACCTTGAGGAAAAAAGTTTGACAGTAACTTAACAGTAGCAGTCTGATTCTGATCCGCTATACCATTGTTGAACTTTGCACTAGGTGCTCGAACTTTGAAACTACCATGTCTTACTGGCTTTGGAAGAAAAAGAGAGTTGAGCATTTTCTCCAAAGACTGAGGCGTGTACTTTGCATATTTGGCACTTCCTTCTTGTTCAACCAGTGGTCCATAGGTCTGCATTTAACTCCGATAAACAGGTACAATTGCCTGATTGATGAGCTGCCATGTCTTTTCTCTTACTTCTTTGTCAAGCATGACCCAATTAGCTGGGTGAGAATTGGCTAATAATCATCTCCAAGCAGCTTATTGCAGTAGTCAGTGATAAAGATGAAAAGTTTCAGGACACTACCATCGGGAGGTGGTGGCATTTGCCTCTGCAATTCAACTTGAACCATAAGTTCCCAGAAGATTTCACTAGCACCATCAATCACCCTCTTGATGAGATCCCTTGTCAAATTCTGGATTTTACCACATGCAACTCCACCAAAGAGACGATTGAAATCCAATCTCAGCTTGTTTAAAGATGCAAAGATATCTAACAGTTTTAACATCTTAACTGGATCCTTCTTACTCTCTGTAAAAGTTTTTCCAAACTGAAGGAATGCAAGAATACCTGCCCGGGCAGCTATTTTAGCTAAACAGCCCATCCACACATCCAATCCAAATCTTTCAAAGACATCATTGCAAAGTTTATACTCGGCCTCTAAAAGATGCTTCACAGCAAACTCTATATGCTTACCCCAACAAGCAATGTAGCCCTCTGTGCTCTGCACGTCATTGAACTCGGAGACTGAAATCTCAAGGTAATCTAAATTAAGTGCCTCCAAACTTGCCCTGACATTAGAACTCCGTACCTCAACATAGATCGCCTCACACTTTTCAAGCCTGTTATTGGCAACCAATCTTCCAAGTATAGCCTCTAGCTTCTGTATAACAGCCACAGGCAGAAGAGATGGAGCAATGCAGGCTTTTTCACCTGGCAAGGCTGGATCACTCATTGGCAACGGAACATTATTTTCAGTCAGTAGCCGCCTAAATTCATTTTCCAATCTATCCAATGTAACCTCATGAAGTCCTCCATCAAGGCGACCCTTATCTTCCCCATTGTGCAAATCCCTTAGAGAAGTCAACGCGACGTTCAAACTCGAAATAAACTTGTCATCAGCAACACTATGGTCCTCTAGGTACTTCACAATGTCCGCCAACCACTGAATTGCCATGTCAAAATTCTCCCCCAAAAATCTTAATGCCTCTTTAAGCCTTTAGATCACACCAAGGTAACCAGGGAGGTCGAATTGAGGATCGGATAAGGACTTCTCAATCCCATGAATGACATCAAAAACCTTAAGAACAGCAGTAGCAGGTACAACAGCACGATTAATATGTCCAACAACGGCATCAAGATCATCCTTCAGCGCGAATCGGCCTAATTGCAGCTTCCAAAGAAGGCAATCTCTTTTTAATCTCAACTAAACTAGGCCCATCTTTTTCAAGAGATAAACCTAAAGCTTTAGATTCCTCCAAACTAAGAGTCAAAGATTTCCTAGCAGATCTCAAATATTCAGTACCTTTTTCCATCAGGGCCATAATAAAATTAATCAAGAATTGCAAAAACCAACTTGAAACTAGTAATCCAACATAAACCCCACTACTGAATCTCAAATCTCAATCCACTTCCTCAACCAAAATACTTATTTTATCTATCCCATTTGGACATGTGTAAAATTCAGCGTTATATATGCAATGCACACAAGAAACTCAAATTGAAAAAAAAATAAAATAAATCTGGATTCTTGTAGAAGTGAACTTTCATTGTTTGCTTCAGCAAACTCACAAAAAACCAAAACAAAAAGAGTACACACAAATCTCAGCTAACAACTAGTTGTAAAATCAAGAAAAGCAAAAATTATTCACAGACTTTCGGCAAGCCAAAAAGGGGTAACAAAAGCAATTTTGATGGAGACCCATAGTAAACTTCAGCAAGATGAATACGGTAAACGTATATGGTTACCCTAAAAATTGAATAACAATTAAATTTTAAGGATACCTTATTTCACCTAGTATCAACTTGACAAATACAAAGAGTAATAATAGAAATTGACAATAATATAAAGCAAACCAGTGTTTGGACAGAACTCTCGAGCTTGAATACCCTCGAGCTAGTTATGTAAGGACAGTTAAAATACAACAAGCTGATAAACAAGAGAATGTAGATTAAAGAGAAAATATTGTATATCTCTGTGAATGTCCGGTCCCTACAAATGATGGGGACTCCTCTTTATTTAGTAGAGGAATCCTAATTATGGTATAACTCTAATTACAGAAGGAAATCACATGATTAGGTAATTAAACGCCTTTGATTTGATCCTTTCCGAGATTCCCGCCGTGACCTTCGACCAGTCACGGATATCTCGCTTTCCCGTTGCTTCGCTCGGAGTCTGCCCTATTCGACCTCGATCACTGCCGGCTTCGATCTCAGCAGGCACTCCGATTCTCGAACACAATACCTTGCCTTCGTCACTTTGATCCGCTCTAGTTCGAGGCTAACCCTTGAAACAATTCCCTGGCTTCGATTAAATAGCAAAATGGGGTAGGCCCGATTTTACCCGTATACAGATAGTCCCCTTGTTTCTTGGAGTGTAATGAGAAGAAGAGAATTGAGCCTTCGATTTCGTGCCTCAACCGATTATGACGTCACCCTTATGACGTAAGCGACGGAAGTGTCCCGTCGGTACAGTTTCCAAAATCATTAATGAGCGTCAGTTGGTGGTCGGCCACCAGCGTATTTGAACTATCGTAGCGATCATTATTAATAGGTCTTCCTCATAATTTCTCAAATTTTACTTTCAAACTTCTCTTAATCTTCAAAGCGCTCTACATCTTCCAAGTTTTTCTGTGCTGCAAATTCTTCAAATCCCGCTGTCAAGCTTCTCTCAAAACAACAAATCTTATCTTCTTCTTTCTCTAAACCCATATAAAAATGGCAGAAACATCAAAAACTGTTCCTCAAAAGGAAAAAGCTTCTTCATCGAGGCCGGCGGCGATAAAACGCTGGTGGAGCCACGCCTTGAGGAGTGCGTTCCCGGGGGGTGCGATCTTACTTCTGACTTCAAAGTCGAGAAAACTTCGTCGGTCCCTGGCGATGTGAGCCAATGTCGAGATATATATGCTCGATAACTGAGGGCGACCTCGAGTAGGTGAAGAATGATTGCCATTGGGAAGAAGAGGTGGCGATTCCGACCCCTGAAGAAGACATCACTACTCATGTGAAAGGGTTCCTAAGTGTTTACACTTACCCTTTCACGCTTGGCCCCATTGATCCCGTCATCATCGACTTTTGCCATCAATACCAAATAACCCTAGGTCATATCCATCCATCTTTCTGGCGGATCGTCATTCTGTTCCGATCTTTGTGATCAAGGTCGAAGGGATGCCTTCCACCCTTGACCATCTCATCAGAATGTACAACCCCCGTCTTTATCGAGGCAGGTTGATAAAGCTTCAACGTCTGGCTACCAAGGTGCTATTCTCGAGCATAGACGAGGACAAGGATCGAGGATGGATGGTCCGGTTAATTCGAGTGAGGACGTCCGACATAATTTCGGCTGAGAAGATGCCGTTCCCCGAGGAATAGAACATGAAGCTTCTGTTTATTGTTTTGTTTCTTTTGTCTTTTCTAATCGACATCCTTACCTGTGATGTAGCGGCTTCTTGGGTGCCTGGTGCAATTCTGAACCTCGAGAGTTGGGTTCGGAAACTAGCTTCGACCTCTTCGTATGCTGAGCGCTCATGGCGCGATTTGGCAAAGGGTCGATGGGAGGCCAAGAATCATGGTAAGCTTCTTTACACGTATTTGATGCTTTTCTCTGAAATATTACTTTTTGTATTTACTTGATTTCCTTTTATACATGTCTCAGAGACATTGCCGTCATGAGTCCCTCGACTGGGGAGCAGGAGGCCCCAAAGCCGGCGAAGGATAAGAAGAGGAAAAGGGTCTCGCCCTCTGATACTCCAAAGCCCAAGAAGAGCAAGGCCCGCAGGTCGAAAAAGGACACCGCAGCCCTGCCTGCTGATGTTGCTCAGCGTCTAATGGAGGAAGAAGAGGAAGATGAAGATGCTGACTTCGAGCTAGTAGCTCGAGCGAAGAGGGTCCCCGAGGCCCCGAAGGCCGCTGAGACGGTGACGATCGAAGAGGTTCAGCCTCGAACCGAAGAGATCTCAGAGGGTGGCCCAAGCAAAGTCCCCGAGTCCTCGGAGGCTGAAGATGCCTCCCCCCTTGATGAGAAATCGGCGGATTTGTCTGAAGGGGCCGGTTCCGTGGCCCTTCGAGACAAAAAGAACGCCCCAAGTGACTTGCTTGGGTCAATAGACGTTGATGATTCGCTGCCCCTCCCCACATTTTTCGAGGGGAAAATTCAGGAGGCCCATGCCATGGGGACCCCCAATGTGGGAATGGCCCACGAAGGGGAGGACCTTTTTCACGACTGCTTCACAGGAGTCGAAGATGCTTCCGATCTGGGTGATGCATCGAGTATCTTCAATGAGGCTCATCGACTCTTGAGTAAGGTAAGCCTTAGCTCCCTTTATCAATATGACTTTTGCCTTTATTTCCTCTTGCGTGATTTCCTTTCTTTCTTCATAGGCCTTGATGCTTCATCGGGAAGCATTTTCTAAATCCTGGGCAGAGCTGAACCGGTGTGAGGCCGATCTTAAAAGGCTTACGAAGGAGAGAAATGCCCTCAAACTTCTCAGTGGGCAAAAAGAAGAGGAGATCAAGTTCCTTCGAGCCGAGTTGGCCACAACCCATGAAGAGCAAACCGACTTGATTGAGCAGGTAATGAATTTTTTTAGAAGTACGATGTATCAGTTTGGGGATGACGACTAACACTTCGATCCTGTAGGTTCCGCATAGGGTCGAGAAGATTGAACAGCTCCGTGAAGAGGCCAATATGATGAGGGCGGAGACTTTGGGGTGGAAACAAAACATGGATCACCTTGCCTCGGAGAAAGAGACTGCTCGAGCGCAACCGTCATCGGCCGAACGTCAGCTCCAAAGCATGAAGGAGGAAAGCTCAGCTCAGGCCAAGAAAATGAAGGAGCTCGAGGCCAGTTAGTCATCGAACTGGAAAAAGCCATTTCCGAGGTTGAGATGGCTAAAGCCAATGTTGAGGCGATCGCAACAGTCTACCGATTCGACGCTGAGGCTGCTCAAACTCGAGCAAAAGAAATTTCCGATGCTGCTCAGGCTCGAGCATTTTGCGTTGCCTCGCATAACAAATGTCAGTCTCGAAGAGAAACTCTCGAGGAGATTCATGCTTGTGGTTTTGACCTTGCTATCGAGATCGAGAGTGTGGAAGAGCTTGAGGTTGAAGCTAAAGCGTTGCTCTCTTCCGACGATGATGATTCTGGGAGCGTGAGTGGTTTAGAGGGCGGTGAAGATGAAGATGAGGCTCCCGGAGAGGATTAGGCATTTAGAATTTCTCTGAATTTTTTGTGTAGGATCCTAACCGATCCATGTAAATATTTTCATATATAAAAGATCCTTTTTCTCTTTGATTTGTCTTCATTTCAATTTTTGCCCCGTAAAAATTTTATTTTTACCATGTCTTGAAAATTTTCATAAGTATGAGGGTTGGGCAATTTGAACGAAATCGGACTAGTGTAGTTTTTATGATCGAGTGAGTATTTACTCAAAATCGAAGTAGGGCGACCCTTAGGTTTATTTGAGTAAGGATGATTTCTCAAACTCACAAATGGCCTTTAGGTTCTTGAATTGGACCGATATGGCCTCAAAAGAGTGGCTTTTTCCCTTTTCGGCTTTAAAAAGTTTAATCATATAAATGTTTGTTATGCCTTAGCACGAGATAAGTTTATACCCATTAGGATTTTCAAGGGTTAGTATTATCGAAACCCTTTACTTGGTTATGCCTTAGCATAAGCTTGGTCTGGAGTTCGAACAATTTGGTACCCCTTAAGGTTTTTGAGGGTTTATGTTATCGAAAGCCTTTGTAATTTTGCGGAGGGTAGCATTTTTTAACCGGTTTTATGAAAATATTGGAAGGCCTGTTTTATTACGAAATTCAGACGTCTCCAAACCGTGTTAGGTTGGGCGTAGCCTTTAACTTGAGATTTGCCCTTTGGGCTTGTTTCTCAATTACACTTCGAACTTGTTCGAAGCGTCAGCCCCCGAGTGGGATGGCCGTGGCCCGTAAAGACGAGGGTTGCCTTTTCAAGGTCTTATAATCTTGAAGTTTAATAATTCGAGCATGTCAATTTTTGGATGGCAGTTCCCGGGTACGGGGTTGATTGTTCGAGCTTCAGTTGCGATCGGCGCTTGAGCCAGTTTCCGCAATAGATCATAAGTATGAAATTGTAAAGTAGAAATTTCACTAAGGCATGGAACATCAGGTAAGGAAAAAGTACTTCTTTCAATGGATCATTCATGCGTACATGTTTTTTCATTGGGTCTCGAGTAATCTACATGGACACGATTCATTTGATCGTTTGGCCCTTTACAAAATTTACCTATTGAGACCCTGTTGACACGAAGTATTTTCCTTGAAAACATAACATCTGAGGGTGATCTAACCATATACAGTTAAAACTGGACCTACCCTATTTTGCTATTTAATCGAAACAAGGGAATTGTTTCAAGGGTTCGTCCCGAAGTGGAGCGGATCAAAGTGACGAAGGCAAGGTCTTGTGTTCAAGAATCAAAGTGCCTGTCGAGATCGAAGCCGGCAGTGATCGAGTTCGAACAGGGCAGACTCCGAGCGAAGCACAATAACGGGAAAGTGAAATATCATGACCGGTCGAAGATCACGGCGGGAATCTCGGAACGGATCAAATCAAAGGCGTTTAATTAGCTAATCATGTGATTTCCTTCTATAATTAGAGTTATACCATAATTAGGATTCCTCTACTATATAAAGAGGAGTCCCTATCATTTGTAGGGACCTGACATTCACACAGATAAAAGAAATACAATATTCTCTCTTTAATATACATTCTCTTGTTTATCAGCTTGTTGCATTTTAACTATCCTTAAATAACTAGCTCGAGGGTATTCAAGCTCGAGGGTTCTGTCCAAACACTGGTTTGCTTTATATTATTGTCAATTTCTATTATTACTCTTTGCATTTGTCAATTGATACTAGGTGAAATCAAGTATCCTTAAAACCACATTATAAGTTTAATTGTTATCAAATTTTTAGGCTAAACAGTTTGGCGCCCACTGTGGGGCTAAGGATTATAGTGAATTCCTAGTATTAATCCTCATAACACACACTGCTTTTATGCTTGTTCTCGTAAGTGTCTTTGATTTCAGGAATCAGCATGTCAAACTCTCAAGCAGTGACCACTCACACAGACGCCGGCCTTGGTCTTCATGGCGAGAACGAGAACGTAGTCTCCTTGGGAAACGGAGTACCTCCAGTCAATCCTGATGGACCACCGGCCGTAGATCCAGTCGATGTAGGTTGTCGTGTTGCCATTCATGGAAATTTAGGTGCCTATCCTGAAAATAGCGTCCGTAGAGACGCTGGGGCGACCGACCAGAACGCACAAAGCGGTGAAAAAGGTGGGATTATTCTTCGAATGATATTTGAAATGTTGCAGACTCAGCAAGCTGCAATAGCACAACTCCCAAATCAGAATCGAGCACCAAGCAGAACTGAGCTCGATGGATCACAGGAAGTTATTCACAAGGTCGAACTTGTACCGGCGAAATCGAATGATAATGGATCGAGAACTGATCCCTCCATCAAGAAGATGCTCGAGGAGCTCACCAAACGGATCGAATCAGGAGAAAAAAAATTGAGGGTAATGATAAAAAGGTAGAAACATACAACTCACGGGTTGATCAAATACCGGGGACACCCCCGATTCTAAAGGTTTTAGATTCAAAGAAGTTTATACAGAAGCCTTTCCCACCAAGTGCGGCTCCAAAGCCCATTCTAAAGAAGTTCCGCATGCCAGAAATTCCCAAGTTCAATGGAACCAGTGATCCTAATGAGCATTTGACTTCTTATACATGCGTTATTAAAGGAAATGACTTAGAGGATGTGAAATTGAATCTGTTCTGTTGAAAAAATTTGGAGAAACTTTATCGAAGAGGGCGATGATATGGTACCACAACTTGCCGCCCAATTCCATCGATTCCTTCACCATGCTTGCTGATTCATTCGTAAAGGAACACGCCGGAGCAATAAAGGTTGCAACTAGGAATTCGAACCTCTTCAAAGTGAGACAAAAGGACAATGAAATGCTAAGGGAATTCGTATCATGGTTCTATATAGGATGCATGGACCTACCCCCGGTCACCGATGATTAGGCTGTCCAAGCCTTCACTCAAGGTTTGAATGAGCGAAGTTTGGTAGCATCACGACAACTAAAGCAGAATCTAATTGAATATCTAGCTGTGACTTGGGCCGATGTACATAATCGATACCAGTCAAAGATCAGAGTCGAGGATGATTAGTTAGGAGTCCATTCCGATTCCATTTACCCAAATAGATCCGAAGGCAGAATTCAAAGAGACATCGACAGAGAGCCCCGATCGAATAGAGATCGGTACCAACCATACATTGTAGATCGTATAAATAATGGATCGGGACGTAATCTCGTTCGGAATGATCGAAGAAATGATCGAGGACAAAACTCCCGAGGGCTCATGAGTAAGATTGCCTTCTATAAACATGTCGAGCCCAAAGAAGCGCCATGATTGTCAGAATACAACTTCAACATCGATGCGTCGGGTATTGTATCAGCTATTGGATGAACCAAGGATATTAGGTGGCCTAGACCCCAACAGATTGATCCGGCTCAATGGAACCCTAATCAAATATAAAAATACCATGGAACCCATGGTCACAAAACCAAAGACTGTAGACAGTTGAGGGAGGAGGTAGCTCGTTTATTCAACGAAGGTCATCTTCGAGAATTCTTGAGTGACCGAGCTAAAAATCACTTCAGAGACATGGATGCAAATAGGAAAAACGAACAGGAGGAACCACATCACGTGATTCATATGATCGTTGGTGGGGTCGATATTCCTCAAGGCACAATATTTAAACGTACCAAAGTGACAATCACAAGGGAGAAGCGTACTCGGGACTATTTACCAGAGGAAACCTTGTCTTTCAACGACGAGGATGCAGAGGGGATCGAACAACCTCACAACGACGCACTGGTAATATTTATACTTATGAATAAAATTCGAGTTAAACGTGTGTTGGTTGATTCAGGTAGCTCGACAAACATCATTCAATCGAGGGTCGTAGAACAACTCAGCCTCCAGGATCAAATCGTGCCTGCAGCTCGAGTACTCAACGATTTCAACATGGCAAGTGAAACCACTAAAAGGGAAATCATTTTTCTGGTAAACGTGGCCGGGACAATCTAGGAAACAAAGTTCCATGTAATTGAAGGTGATATGAGATACAACGCTGCCCGAAAGACCTTGGATTCATAATATGAGGGCAGTACCTTCGTCGCTTAATCAAGTCTTGAAATTCCCAACATTGGAAGGGATCAAACTGATGTACGGCGAACAACCCGCCGCCAAAGAGATATTTACAATTGAATAAGTAGTACCAACATCGGTGTTTTTGTCAACAAAGGAATCAGAGCCAAAGAGAAAACAGGAAGTCAAATAGCAACCACAGGTACCGGCCTCAGTCCCGTCGGAGGAGCAGGAGATCTTCGAGGATGAAGATTTTATGATGCCTCGAACCTTCACGACCCCCGATGATTCTGATGCAACAAAGTCAACGATCGAGGAGCTGGAACAAATCATATTGATTGAGCATCTTCCCGATCGAAAGGTACCTGGGCACGAGGTTAACTCCTGAGCTCTGGAAAAAACTCGTTCAATTCTTTTTAAATAACATGAATTGTTTTGCTTGGTCCCACTTAGATATGATAGGAATCCCACCGGAAATCACAACATATCGGTTGAGCCTGGACCCAAAGTTCAGACCGATAAAAGAAAAGAGAAGGCCCCAGTTCGAGGTAAAACATGCATTCATCAAGGACGAGGTAACTATACTTCTCAAAATAGGGTCCATCCGGGAAGTAAAATATCCTGAATGGTTAGCAAATGTAGTTGTAGTCC